TTCTATCTCACAAACCACTCGTGCGTTTTGCCCCAAACCTGTTCAAACACCTTCCATATAACCTATCCAAGATATCCCAACCATTAGGCAGTGAATGTAACTCCATTTGCAAGCTTCACCATTTTTGTTTTCATCTTGTACAGGTTGAGTTCTACAAGCTTGTTCAAGCACATTCAAGGCAAGCTAGGCATTGGGGAAGGTCGGAGGAAGTTCAAGCAAGCTCCCAAACATCTCAGGCCTCACTGAAAAGCTCCACATTGCCATACACGGTTTCAATTGAAATAGGTTTTTATCAACTTCCTATCTCTCTATTTAGGAATCATTAGGCTTAAGTTTGTGAATAAAAAATATAGTATTCATAGCCATGAAGTTGTACATATGCTCAGTTTTCATTTAAGTTAAACGTGTTAAGAGAATTTGATTCATGAACTTCCTGAAAAAGTTAGGTTAGAAATTAGGGCTAGAGAAATTCTCCCTGGTCTTTGAGAGTTAGATTAAGTTTCTTATATGGTTGAATTTGTCTTGAAAAATGCTACAACATTGATGTTATGAGTTTTTGCATTAGAGCGCGTATGCAGGATCTGGACATTTGTACAGGGCGCGCGTTTTTGTTTTTGACAAAGGTTGAAGATGAAGTTCATGGGCTGGGCTTGGTTATGGCTCACTTTTTGCACCCCCTTACCTTGCTGACCGCACCCCCCTGGCCCATTTCTTTACATTTTTGCATTTTTGCATTTATTTTTCATTCCTGATTTTATTTTATTATTTTCTAAACATAAAAAATACCAAAAATATTTTTATAAATTTTCACTTTTATTTTTATTTTTTATTTTATTTTTTCTAACATAAAAATAATTATTAATTAGCATATACTTTTATTTTATTTAATGAAAAACTTGAAAATAATACATGAAAATATTATGCCTTTATTTTTTTTATTATTCATACTTAAATAATAATTTTTCTAAATATATTTTTATTTTGTGTATATTTTATTTTATTGTATTGTATATAAACAATATAATTAATATATATTTACTTTCTTAAAAGAAAATTAGGGTTTTAACCCTTAATAAAAAATAATCTTTTTATTTCTTTTTTTTAATATATTAAATATTATACTTTTACATACATAAAAATAAACAAAAACATCTTTTGCATATTTATGATATTTTGCATATTTATATTTTGCCTATTTAATTATTGCCAATTTATTTATTTGTACCATTCATTCAATTTGGATGTAATAGTAAATATTAGGATTTTATTTTCTTGCAAATATTCCCCATTCAAAATTGTATCCCCCTCCCCATACCAATGTTGTAATAACTTAGGTTTATTTTGCGCACTTTATGCTTTCAAATATGCCATGATTAGAGATTAGGGTTTGTATGCAAAAATCCAAAATCAAACAAATAGCTTAACTAATACAAAGACAAAAAAAGCATGTAAATTGACAACACAATGCACACTTGCACCCCTAGGGTTTCATCCACTTGTTGCCTTTAAAATGACCATGTTATGCATGTTGAGTATCTTGGCAAATCAAAAACAAAACAAAAGATCATAGTCCCTCGATGACACTATCTTGGTTGCCTATACAAAATGATCTAGTCCCTCACAAAAATTGCTAAAGATACTTGGCAATATTGTTATCATGGTCAATACGATGACCCGCGCCTGTCCCGTTAACATCCTAATACAAGGTTGTTTACCAAATGCAATGGTAAAACAACACTGTCAAAAGGGTTAAAAATGTGTAGGAAAGATCTTTGAGTAAAATAGGGTAGATAACTCTTAGTTACTTGATCAAAACTTGCAAAAAAAACATCCTTGCTATTTTCAAACACACCTCACAACACAATTTCAAAACATTTCCTAAAACAAACTTTAAAACATTGAAAAATCTTTTCAAAAGACAAACACCTTTGTATACATTCAAACAAGAATCATTACAAAGGTTGCCACAATGATGGCCTCTTTTCAAAACATTTTCAAAACCACACACAAAGCACCATTTCAAACAATTGGAAAAGCAAAGCAAGTGATCTAAACAAGTAACTAAGAGCCCATGGATAACCATGGATGAAAAGGGTGCTTGCACTTTCCCTTTTCATAATCTACCCCCCGAACCCAAGAAAACATCTCAAAGGTCTTTCCTGTGCTTTTTGACCTTTCCTTTGGATAAAATAAAAATTCGGTGGCGACTCTTGCTAAACCGAAACATTTGCGAACACAAACACAAAACCTCAAGTCAGTTCTCCCACCGTATCACAGGTAACGATGTAGAGAATTTATCTTCGTTGATTTTGAACTCTGAATGAAAATGAGGGCTCCAATAAGCTTCTGATATGAACAATGAAATGCATGATATTATGAATGCATATTTCATCTTTCATTTCCAAGGAAACTCAAAGACTTGTCTATCCATAAGTATCCTTTTGATAATAACATTCATCATCATTTTTCATCATTTTTTTTGAAATCTCAACAAAAGACTTATCTTTGGAATTCCCTAGAAATAGGATGCATATACATAATGATGTGATGTTATGGTATGCAATGGCATGGGATCAAGGCTCCATAGAATTTGGGTAGCCACTGTACAACCCTCTGAATAGATATTGTACAATCTTTTGAATAAATACTGTATAATCTTCTGAATAAGTTGAATGTCATAAGATCAAAGGTCTGGAACATACACCCATATAATCAAATAATCACCAACAGAAATCCAGAACAGAACCATCATAACACAATAGTCACCATTTGTATATGTAAGAATATTCCCTGCCCACTCACGGGTCAAGACTAGTTCAGGGTAAGGTCAAGGATAATCAGAGTCATGAGTCTTCCCGAAAGTACTATCATCGTACAACATATGTGATAATGATATCACCTATTTGAACCCCGTTTGACCATGGATCTCATGATCGAACACGACAGGGCATACGCCTATCAACCGTCATGACTCTCCACTCTATTCATATGTGTTCCTAGTGGTATACAACTTTGATATGTGTAGTGGGCCTTTTTACGTCATAACACCCACCCCACATGAAAATAGAGCCAGCACAACAATAATATATGGAAAGCAGTAAAATGCTATGCAAACATATGCACGAAAGCATGTTAATGAAGCAACAATAAAACAATAACCCACAAAACACCCAAATACAAGAAAACAAATAAAAGATAGGAATGACTTGTATAGGATGGACCAGCAATTGGTCAACCTGAATCCCCGGCAGAGTCGCCAGCTGTCGCTCCGTGAAAAAAAAAATACGAAGTCGTCACCGAACTCTATTTATCCCGAAGGAAGGGAAGATATCGAGAGAACCCCAAAGGAATGGACAATATGGTCTTGCAACCAAGAGAAATAGTAAGGAAGTCAGTTACGCGAGGAGAAGATATTAGCACCCCACGCGTCTGTGGTACTCCACATGATCCACTTTTATTTGCTCTAATCTAAGGGCGTGTAAAAATCTATGTCTAAAGCTTAATGCTGAGAGGGAATGAATGCGAAAGAAAATACGGGGAAAAGAAGGAATATTTACAAAGTTTTGCTCGCCTAAGCCCCGTGACCTAATGCTAACGTATCATTTTCGAGGAATCATAGTGCCATAGTTCGGCTCAAAAGTTTTTTTTTGTGTTTTTATGAGTGACGAACCCTTTTGAAAAGATTGAGTTACACCCTCAAGCCAAGGTGTCACGTTTGATTTGTTTGTATTTTGTTATTTCTAAAAGTATTTAAGTATGATTAAGTGTTTTTGAATTTGAATAAGAAAGAGTTTTTTTTTGTTTTGAGATGGATGCAAAAGAAAGAAAATCTAGGGGGAACTAGAGTCCTAATGTTATCATACAATGTGATCCTAAAGTTTGGATTAACAAAGAGAGAATCTACCTAGTGTTAGCATACAAAGATATACCTAAAGTCGGAGATAATAATTCTATAAGGAACATGCACTGAGAGCAAAGTTGTGATCTCAATTCTAATTGAGTGACTCATTGATCGATAATAAATAAAGGAACACAATAAAATCTAATAGGGAGCATGCACTGAGAGAGAAGTTGTGATCTCAATTTTAATTGAGTGACTTGTTGATCGACCAAAGAAAGATAAACTCAAGTGATACCTAACGGAGAAGGTCTATTGCCTCTCCAAAGTCGCGTGAGCGATGAGAAAACTCTACAAAAGCTTCGCACAAATGACCAAAGAAGTTAAATCCCAAGCATTTCATATCACAAAGTTACATCAACATTCCATTTATTAAAGTATCCAAGGATCATAACTTACCACTAAACTACTCATCATACCAAAGAAATTGAATCAAATAAGAAGAATCAACAAGAACAAGTCAAAATCCTAATTCTAATCATTTCCAACCATTTAACCAACTAATTCCTAAACTAATAGGAAAATTCCAGAAAAACTATATCTAAGTTAGGTAATAACATATTACTATCCACAATAAATTTCAGCTAAAAATCATGGAAGAAAATATCAAAAATAATTGCACAAAACTAAAGAACAAAGTAAAAAATTAAAAGAAGGTAGGAGGTGCAGTGCGAACTGATGGGGTTGTAGTTATGAAGCCCGAACGCTAAGCCCAAATCCAATTCACTTCAACATTTTCAGATTTTAATAATAAAAATGAATTAAACGAATTTGAAAAAAAGATAAATTAAATTAAAAAGTCATGGACCGAAACGTCGCGTTTTATCTTTAGATAGTGATTGTTCGTATAACTTCAACCTAGTTCTCTTTCTCCCTCTTGTCATATCTTTTGTCTGAATCAAAATGCCACTGCGCTGAAAATCGCACCGGCGGCCTCCTCGTATCACCTTGAAAACGCCAAGTTTCAACCTCATCCCCACCCTAAATTGCCTTCTACACCGTAATCTGAACTCAGAATCTTCCAATTTCGCTTCAATCAATGGAATCTAAGGGTTAGGGATTGCGAACCCTAAGTATAAACCTCAGAAAAACAAGCTAGCAATCAATGATTCAGAGTTCGAACGTCATCGCAGTGAGATATTGCAAGCGTATAGATAGAGACAAAGGTCAGCGCCCACCTATGAGAGAAACCCGGCGGTGAAGGTAATGAATCTCGGAGATACGTGAACTCAGGTAGGTCCCTCGCCTTATTCCTCTTTTTCTCCTTCACGTTCTTCTTTTTTAGGTTCTCCATGCTTCTTCTTCTTGTTCTTGTGCATATTTGAGTGTGTTTGCCGTGTTGTTGTTGATTTCTGCGTGAGTGATTACGAGGAACTTATGAGTTGCGGAGCGCGAGAATCCGAGAGCATTGATTGAAGGTGATGCGGTTCTAGTGAGGTGAAGGTGGTGGTCAAGGAAGATGTAAGTTCAGATGTTGGTGAAGGTTTGTGGACTGTGGAGAAGATGGAGGTGAGGTTCTGCAGAGAGTTTTTTAGGTGATAATGTGAGAAGGTTGAAGATGAAGGTGGAGAATGAATGACGAGGTTTGCAGAGGTAGGAGGATGTGGCGATAGTTGTAGAGAGGGAAGGTTGATGAAGGCGATGTGTGTGAATGGTAGAAGGGTGAGAATTTGGAATGGTGAAAGTGATAATGGAGGAATAGAGAATCTGAGAGAGGTTGAGGGTGATGGAAGAAGATGAAGGTTGAAACTGAGAAAAGAAAAAAATGGTGGAGAGAGTGGAGAGTGAGGCGTGTGAAGTGTTAATTGTTGATGGAGAAAGGTTGAAGATGAAGGTGAGTTATGGCATGAAGATGACTGAGGGAGAAGAATTCAGTTAGGGAATGAGGTAGTAGTTAGAGAGATAGAGGGTTCAGTTTGAAGATAAAGGTTCCAGGTGGCGATATACAAAGAGGAGGATTGAAGATGATAATGAGGATTGAGAGAGAAAGAAGAGTGCAGATTTTCTGTGGTTTTTGGTGATTCTCCAGAGTGATTGAAGAATGAGATTGCGGAGGGAGAGAGTAGATGTTAAGGATTATGGTGATTCTTCTAAAGAGTGAAGAATCCTTCTCTTCAAGGTGATTTTCTGTTATGTAGTTCTGTTAGATTAGGAAAAGTTAGTTACGAATGAATTCAATCTCAGCCTTGGATCTGAAAGTTTGTTATATAAAATGAATGGTGAGAATTAGAGTTAGTAATGGGCTTGGAAATTCTGTTATAACTTAGAAGTTTTGTTAGGATTGAAATTGTTAGTTAGTAGAAGTTAGTTATACAATTTATGTTAGCATTTAAGAGGAAATTAGTAGTTAGGGTTACTTATGAATTCAGCTGAGTTGTTGTTTTGATGAAAGGCTCTATTTTTGCAGGGCTTCTCTTGAACTTGTATGCTTAACGTGTTCCTGAACCAAGTTTCCAAGATGCTGACTTTTTCGAATTGGCAACTTCTCTGATATTGAATGGTCTTTGGCCCCTTGAATGCATGGTTCTTCGGATTTAAAATGTATGTGTATGGCTGGGTTATTAAAAGTTTGAGCTATGTTAGTTTGAAATTTTATTGGTTTAGTTATTTGGATTTTTGTTTTGGGCAGTTTAGAGGTTAAGCTAGGAGTGGTCAATTAACTGTATTGAACTGCTGAATTATGATCTTGCTAACTATTGTTCTCCTTTTCGTTTTATATCGAAAATCTTTGTTCTGCTACTTCTGTTGTATATGGCTTGGTATTACGGTTTGGATTAGATACAATAGCCTTCAGTGTTCTTTGGTATTATCTTCTTTGTATGTGCCATGGGATTTTCATGAGCTGTTTTTTGGTATGAATATGATGTACAAACTGGTTTTGTGCAGATTGCAAGGCAGTCGGTTTGATGTCTTATTGGCGAAATTCTGTAGCACAATGAAGCAAGGTTCGGTGCGATGACAATGGCTGCAAGTTTGGAGTATGTGGAAGCAGGTCTGGAGGTTTTGATGTTTTTTTTTTAAGCTTCACAAAGAAAACTCGAGTTTCTTGAAGGATAAGTGGGCCTGAAGGATAGAGATAGGTCTAGGATTTTTTTGTAATATTTTTGTTGATGTAGTGTAATTGTGTCAGAGATGTAATGGTAATTGAACTTTGTGATGTACTTGAAATGATAATGTAAATGGTGTGACCTTTGATGTAATGATATCCTCTTCAGTCATTTCTCCTCTTTCAATTTAGAATTCACATCCTCCGACCTCATTGATTTTTGCCTTTTGCTCCTGAATGAAGTGACTCTTGTAATGTCTTGGAATTTGATTTAACAAGCTTGTCTTGAGAATTATGGATGACTTTTGAATAAATCTTGTTTGACTACAACTATCTTGAATTCAACTTGAATCTAGTTTAACGTCATGAACATGTTTTGCTAATGTTTTTATAACTTCACTTGTTCTTCAAGAAATCCAAATACATTTCTTACTCTGCAAACTTCAAACAAATTTAATCCATGACATTAAGTAGCACCTTAAATGATTCTAAATAACGAATCCATAAGAACCAAACCAAATCAATCTCGCCTCTTTGCTAAAACTCTTAACTTCCATCTTAAATCCACCTCTTGTAATTGAAGCAACAAATATAAACAATGCCTTGATCACATTACACGTCCACAACATCACATTTGTACCATGATTTAAATCTTGCAATTCACTTCGTAAAGACACCTCATTTTGATAGCTAATGATCTTGAAGCAAATGTCTCGGGAAAATTTAGATAGGAACAATTAGAAGCATATGAGTGATGATGATCACAAAATCATGAGCTTCCTTGAGATGCACCTTGATGGTTTAAAAGCCCATAATGAAGATGTTCTTGTAGCTTGATAAGAAAGAAGTCTACAATAGCCATGAGTCCAAAACCCTAGCTTCAAACCATGGTTTTTGAAGAAACCAATTGATTCAACCTTACATGAAGATGAGAGCCTAAAAACACAGAGATATCCTAATTCCCCAAAATCCTTAATTCCCATGCCAATTTAATTGATTAATGATGCATGCAATATTAGATGACCTAATGGAAGATATGTACATGAGATGAGAAGTGCAAGGTGCATAAGCTAGATGATTTTATTAAAGGATGGCCAAATTTGGAGTATGACACCGCAAACACGCAAAACAACACCTTCACTCATCGCGAGTTTCAACTCGACTTTCTTAAACAACACATCACCATATTCTTCCTCAACAAAAGAACCAACAATGAGAAATACCCATAGTCATATTTATTAAAAACTGGGACTATAGTCGGTACACTTCTAAACCAACCCAATATTTACAATTCTACTAAGTACATGCCCCACCAAAATCCAATAATATTACATATACTTTTTTTTAATTGATTATACATACTTGAAAAACCAAAAATGCTTTTTCGGTGTATTTCATGTATGTCCCTTGAAAAACCAGGAAACAATCATTTCTGCAAGGTTCAAAGAAACTGCCTTAGATGCAAATATTACCGTAACACTCAGCAAAGTGGGGCTCAATCCTAAGTGCTTATTAATTTTTCGCTACACACATATCAAATCATGCAACTGCACAAGACAAGTCGTGAATATCAAATGTAGTCAAACAAATAAAAAAAATAGATACAAAAATAGATAGAACAAACTTGGTAGTAAATTGCACCAAGAAGCAGCAAATTGTCCGTGCGAAGCGAATTTCTCTCATAAACCGCGTTGCATTTGTTTTAGTGCTTTCTTATAACTTCCAGTCTTGTGCATTTTATGTGTAAGAGTCAAGTGTAAATCTTCATCAACTGCCCAGAGAGCATAAATTGTCATAAGCTTTCATCATGAGTTCATTGTTAAGCAATTAAGAAGTCCTCGAAAGTATGTAATAACTGAAAGGAGTGAAATTCAACAGATGCAAACCTTGAGAAAGAATCGAAAGCTTCGGTGAATTTATTTGTCACAAATTTAATGTACAAAGAACCCAAAGTTTTGAAGACAGTAGGAAAATTGTAGGAATAAAAAAAAAGTGAAATCTTGAAGCTTTCTCCATGAATCACTCCCTTTCCCAACATTGAGCAAGGACACAAGATTAGAAGAAAGACAGTAAATAAGATTTATAATAAATGTAAAAATTTAAGTTTACAGGCAGTGAAACAAACTCACCAACGATAATTATCATATCCAACTTACTGGAAGTGTGTTTGGAACCAACCTGTAATGGCCAATCTCACCATTAAGCATATTTCACCGTTACTTTAAAAGGTGCGAACTGAAATGACAACTTTACTCGCATTCACGCTACATAACTCAACTGTTTCAAACACAAGCTATATCACTTAGAACTCGGAAGAGTAAAACCCAAAATTGAAACTGGATCGAATATACAAACTCATAACTAACATATGAGATTTAAATGAAACCCTAATAAACATAAATCTCATAACTTTATTTCAAAATCTCTAAATCTCAAACACTAGATTGAAATGAAAACATCATATAAACCATAAGAAGTAACAAAAACAACAACCATTTATGTTTCTTTCCAAAGTTACCTTTTTTGTTTACAGTTTGTGATCTTACCTAATTAGAGTTGGACCGTCACGACTGGTTCCGAGCAAAAGTTGAACGAGATGGGGGTACCTGCAAGGCACTCCGATGCTAAAGTGAGTGAGAGTACGAGCAGGCAAAAAGTGTGAGTATGGGTAAGAGAATGAATACCTGACCCTCTTGGAACAGAGGGTATTTATAGCCCCCAGCGCTGGGCCAAAGTCCCTTCATTGGGCCGACCAGGATTGGCCCAATAAAGGAACTGCCAGGTTCTACGTGTGTAGTGGGGACCCGTACGTGGTCTCCTTCCTGGATGCTCTGCGAGAAGTACGGACGGACGAGGACGCGGTCTTTTCGGAGTTCAGGTGATGGTGTAACGGTCACAGTCTGCCCTACGAGGAGGGTGCTCGAGTTGGACTCGAGTTGGATTGTATGTGGTCAAGGACGTTGCGTTCGCGGGCAGTGGCGGGCATGGCTGTAGCTTCTGGTCGACGCGCTCCCTGTAGAGCCGTTTGGATTGGGCCTTCATTCTTGCTCTTGGGCCAACCCGGGTCCAGTCCAGAACAGGAGCCCCCCAAGTCGTGGCTCCTGGAGCAGAAGTTATGACTTGATCTCAGCTCGCCTTTGTCACGGGGCCTCATGCTCGGCCAGGAGATTTGGTTCCCCGTGGTTGCTTGAGGAGCTTCTCCTGTGTCGCGTTCGTGAGATAATTCCTTTCGAGGAGTGCTCGGGGGACTCTCGACGGGCTGTGTTCGTTGAGTACACGAGGCAACCCTTGGGAACCGTGACGCCACCCTATTGAAGATAGAGCCATCATTGCCTAGGGGAGCTATGCGTCGAGGAGGGAAAGTTCGTGGTTTCCCGGGGTGACGTTTCGTATTCCGCGTCATCACTATAAATAGGATCCTTGGGTCTCATAATATGTTTTTCTTCTTCGCGCTTCTCCTCCTTCCTCTGCCTTTGCTGCTGCTGTTTTTCCAGATTTTCATAGGACCGCCGTTCTTTCCGCCGTCGATTTTCTTCTCCGCCGCCGTACCTCTTTCCTGATTTCAAGTAAGTGTCTCATCCCTCATGTTTTTCTCTGTGGTAGATGATTTTTTCCATTATTTGTATGTTAGAAAATCTGCGTCTGGGATTAGCTCCGGTACATTCGTATTTTGCCCGGCATATCCATGTTTATGCCCGGTAAACGCATGCTTGTGCCCGGTAAACGTACAATTTAGGCACGTGACTTGCAATGCTGCCCGGGATCTTCATGATTCAGGGCGCCTAACCCGTGATATTGACCGGTAAACTCATAGTTCTAGGTTTAGGATTCATGATATTGCTTGTCATATCCATAGCTTAGGTCGACGCGCTCGTGACTGGCCGGGATGTTGGCCCATTTAGGCAGTATGTAGGACGATTTGTCGTGGCATCTTGGCGTCGGGGAGGTGATACCAGACTTTTGTTCGAATCCTCAACGTTTTAATCGTGTGTGGAGTATGACTCGGCTTGTCGTGCCCTTCTTCCCGTCAGTTATGGCGAGCGTATGGATTTGCTCCCCAATTGACCGATTTCATGTGCTTTGCATGTAACAATGGCTGATGAACCGTGTTCCTCGGGGCGCAACGAGGTGGAAGACCAAAGCGTCGAGGAAAATGTGAATCTGATCGATACCATTGACGATCCCTTGCTAGAGTGGATGGGCGCCGAGCCCAGAGGGATTGCTTCTGCTTATAGTCGGCACAGTCGGAGCGCGTATACTATCGTCGAGCAGGGCGGTAGTCAGCTCGGCTTCTAGAAAATTTTTGTCGTCACTAGACCGTCCCTTAACGCGCAGATCTTCTCGGAGTTCTTCGAGTACAAGTTTCCTATGTATGAGATCGCGTTTAAGGACCTTGGCCTAAAGCTCCGCTTTAGTGATTTTCAGGTCGGGGTCTTCAGTCATTTGGAGCTGGCCCCCTCGCAGCTTCACCCCAACTCGATTGCTTTTCTTCGGGCATTCGAGCTGACGTGTCGCTTTTTAAGGATTGGGGCGACCATACCTCTTTTCTTCAGAGTCTTCCATTTACAGCGTCAATCTCGGGGAGGTAGGCACAGTTGGGTTTCCCTGAAACAGTCGAAGAGGCTCTTCAGGATGTATATGGATTCTGTCCGGGGGTTCAAGGACAAATGGTACATCATGCGGCCGGTCACCAAAACTGCTCTAGAGTCTGTATACGAGGAAGAAACTGTGGTGACCGACGATCACGGGGAGGCTCTTCTGGACGATGAGGGTCGCCCAGTGTTGGGGCGCGTAGCTAAGTTTCCCTTGCATTGGAGCTCGCGCCACTATGAGCATGGCACTGGGCATTACCATATGCCTGCGGGAGGGATGAGCACCGAAGACGAGAAAGCCTACGGTATCCTCTGTAGATA